AATTGAAGAGGAAGCACGCATTTTTAGACACATTTTTACAGACGACTCCAAATCCATTCTAACCATCTCACAAAGATCTTTCCAGCCTTATTCTCCCAGGAAATCCTAAACGCAGASTAAAATGGAAATTGTGCCGTGACCTTTTACAAAACTTCAATGACTTACGTCTCTATGTAATAATTATAATAAAAAAAAAACTAATTAATCAATAGCTAAGAGTCTCTAATGGATGGCTGCTTAATTCACACCTTTCATGCTACTTTTTTCTATGCTCTTTTTTTTTTTTATTTGCCTTTTATTCTATACTCTTATTGTGCTAATATTGTACAGATTGTCTATGTCTACTAAAAATTAAAAAAAAAAATATATATATATTTAGTAACGCACTCTATAATTTTTTGAATAAAAGCCAAAATATGTAATTTTACCTTCTTTATTGGAATACCGGTAACATAATAAAAGCAAATTTACACACGCATTAATCATTTTTTAAAGCGTTGACAATATTTCTGACGACTTAATTACCCAAAATTAAAATTAAATTCTCCGACATTAATCACTCGAATTATTATTCAATAGGTATTGTGTTTGACAGTTAGAACATATACAGACTTCCAACATAATTCAATTATAATTTATTAAATTATGTTGCAGTCTAAATGAATACATTACAGCTATATAAAATATTCATCATGCTTAAAACATAATAATAAAAAAAAAACGTTTAGGTATAATGAAAATTAATTAATTAAAGTATACATTATTACACAATAATATAAATTATAAAAATCAAAGTTATACATTTTTTTTTAGTATTTGGCCATAGTCTGAAGAAATTTGTATCAATGTTAAATTATCAATATAATTAAATTGTGAGTAATTTAGTTCACTCATTAATTATTAAGTACCTATTTATGGTTAGATATGTAGTAACTATTATTCTAAATAAACCTAGGTATGTTTTTTTTTAAATTTACACATAGGTAGATAAACTATATAGGTAAAATAAAAGATGTGCGAAGAGAGTAATACCTATTGTTTTTATAGATGGTTGTAGACAAAATAATCTATAACCAAACGTAAAAAGTCACATAACTAATATTTTAAATACCCTCCTCCTAAAGCCAAAATATTTTCTATTATTTAAAATTACTAGAAAAAAATAAACTATCTATTGACTATGGCCTATGTAAAATTATATTTTGTTACAAAATATTATCTATTTATTAGATTCTGACGATTTTGTATGGGCCAATGTGTATTTTTTGTTAGAAACCATCTCTCAGCTTAGAATAAATGTTTATATAAAATATAAATTAGGTATAAAAATATAAATTATAAAATATAAATTAAATATAAATA